CAACAATACACCTTATGAGGTCGTCCTCCACGTGGTTCCTGGAAACCATCGTGGTAGTCTGTATTACTAACAATAAAATATATGTATTTACATCATTATTACCTATCTGTGTAAATACAAAGATTATCTGTGCATAGGAGATAAGAGAGATAAGATGATAATATTAATTAACATAAGTGGCACACAATTACACCAATTGCTTGATCCTCAAGCTAGAATATCCTGTGTTATGAGGAGTCAGACAATAATCTGTAAAAAGTATCTGGGGTCACAATCCAAATCACCCAAACTTGAGTCAATCCAAAATTCTCCCCATAAATTGGCCCAACTGGGAATAAAACACGAGACCTTGTTTATGCAAAGCAACGTGTTCACCATTGCTAATAGAAGCTAAATTAAAAAAAATTGCATTTTTGTATCTCTGTCTATCTGTCTGTATGTTTGTTCACCAAGTTGTACACAGTCATATTTTTTAAAGGTCCAATTTAAAATCTAGTGGATGTTTTGTCTTGATACGCCATTTAGAAATGATTATCCACTTCAGAAATCTACCGGTAAGAAGTTGCAGGCAAAAACTAGTGAAACAGAGAGTATAAAAGAAAAATAAAAAGTAACTACCACTATCTATTCGTATTATTTATGGTAAGCAAAAAAATTCATCACGTTGCACCCATAAAAATGGCACAAAAACTTTTATTTCTTTATTTGCTGATAGGAATACAAAATATTTTAAATATTAAATATTATTTTCGAGGTGTAGATACATAATACAATTGTATAATATTGGATTTTGTTGCATTTTTATCATCACTATTATTATTTACCAGAGGGAGACTTTGTACAAAAGTCGATTGCTTGAGTACCTCTGTCCCATTCGTGTTTCTACCGTGAAGCAGTTGTGTTTGCATGGCTGTGTTTCGGTTTGAAGGGTGGGATATGGCGTGAATTTACAGGGTACAGAGGAATAACATCTGAGTTCTCAGGAATGGTAACGCATGGGGGGTATCATGGGCGAAACAGTATACTCTGTTATGTCCATGGTACGGCTCAAAGGAGAGTTTTGCCAGTGGTTGCCACGCTTGGCAGGCGGATTGGTAACCGCAGTTAGGCCTTTGAGGATGTTTTAAGAGGGATGCTGCTGCCCATCCCTCGCCCTGCCCTATTCACCTCTTAAGACACCCACGGGAAAGAAAAAGATGGCCTATTCTATGCCGGGACCACACAGCCAGAACAGTACACGGGATTAAACATTGTTGACTGTTAAAAGAATAATCGAAATTAGTAAAGTTTATTTTTAATGGATGAAGGTGGAATGGTGCATTTAATTATGGCACTAATGGAGAATATGATAAGGATGAAGACAGGTCTGTTAGCCTATCATGGTCATTGCACTAGGTATTTTACCTGTCCTACAATATGCGGTCCCGGCATACAATAGGCCGCACCTTCCTTTCCCGTGGCTGTAGTAAGAAGCAATTAATAAAACTCAATATTCGGGGGATGGGCAGCCGCGTCTCTTTTGAATCGTCAAAACCTAACTGCGGTTACCAACCCGCTTGTCAAGCGTGGCAACTATTGGCAAAACCCTCCTTATGGAGGAGGTTATTCAGCAGCGGACAGTTAATGGCTGCTAAGGTATCGAGTTATGCCTTCGAACCCTGTAATTTCGTTGCCATATCTCATTCTACTTTATTAATAAAAGTTTCTGTTCGGGGGCCAATGGCGATTTGGGAAAATAATTTGAAAACAAACAAGATAATATCGAGTGAACTGAATAAACCCATTCGATACATATGGATTCGCGTTATTTCCCCGGGGCACAGTTATAATGTCATTTACTTTACATTAGTATTTTTATGCTGTACCTATTTGCTTTTAAGAGAACAAAAAGTTAAAGAGCTTTACATATAACCAGAAAGAGACTGCACAAAAGTCGTTTGTTTAGGAACTTTTGTCCTATTCGTGTTTCTATCGTGAAACAGTTATGTTTGCATGGCTGGTTTGAATGGTGGAATATGGCAGTGAAATTACAGAATACAAAGGTATCACACCTTAGGCCTCAGGAATGGCAGCACAAGGATGGTATCATGGGCGAAACAGTCTACTCTGTTACGTCCATGATACTGTTTATGTCTAGAGGCGATGGTTACCATTTCGCATTAGGTTGCCCGTCAGCTCGTTTGGCATTTTAAGTCTCATAAAAAGTCTTTACTGTTTTTTAATAAGTCCTTTATTCGTAAGTCTAACACAATTAGGTTATTTAAATGATTAATTACATTAATTACTTCTTAACCTCCGTCGCAAAAGGAGAGTTGCGGGATGTGATCCGACTATCGCATCGTTATCCATTTATTCGTCCATCGTTGATACTATTATTTTATTATGTTTATTGTCAAAATTGTATTTTGTAGACATATTTTTTTCCTACGGACTGTCTATATTAACTCTAGATATTTCTCGACAATCTATAAGCTAAAAGTTTTGTCACTAACTTCAATGTTTGTATGGAATTAACATCGAATTTGAGTCACAATAAACTGAGTATATTTTTTTAATAATAAATTCATTTATTTAATCAAAATGTGATATTCAAACAATTGCATACAATTTTAAGTAAACTAAAATATAGGATATTACTCAGTGTGGGTTGGATCTCCAACTATCCTCATCATCCTAACTAGAATATAATTCTGTATGTTCGACAATGGCGCGCTTCATCGTAACTTAATAATAAAGATTTATACTTAATAAAAAATATTAATACAATTTATCAATAATAGCAAATAAGTAATATGTAACCTATATAGGTATCTCATGCTGAGGACGAGACGAAGATAAATTTAGGCCGGAAACAGATCGCGCATCCTTTGTTTAATCCGCACAATCCAGCAGTCGGCTAATTTTATTTCAATCCAGCACAGGCACTGCAGGTACGTCGCTCCTTGATGATAGTGAAAATTGGCAGCTCCGATTTTAGTCGTGGACGACGTGTACAACATATACAACGTGTTGGTGCAATAAAGTGTTAAATAAATAAATAAACGTGTTATTTGCTGTATTGTTAGTGCGAATATACAAGTATGTTTGATTTTGTCATGGTTTTATCTTTATCGTTTGCATATACAAATTGTTAAATTGTTTCTACGTTTTGAATGCCAGTGTGCCTTAATTGTGAAATTTTGTGTGGAAAAAATATTAAGGCAATATAAAGGTACTTGAATTCTGAAATTTTATTTAAAAAAAGAAGTGGGTTTTCTTTGTTTATAATTTAATTTCTTTTTTTAAACTTCTTGCCAAAGAAGATGTTTTAATGTTATTATCGTATAACTGTACATAGAAGTAAAGTCCTAAATGGATTAGTTTAAACTGTTTTTGAGTTAATTAAATCATAAAACAATCATCCATATTATCAAACTTTTGTAAGGAATAAAGGCCCTGTCGATTTAAATAATATCTAATATTTAAAAATTACGGATAAGGGATGATGTCTTTTGCCTAAGAACATTTCGCCATCGATGGAAAATTTTATCCCTCGGCTGGCACATTCTATATACAGCCGGGCGGATAACAGCTACCATACCCATTTAAGGGACCTTGAGCTACACCATGCGGACTCGACGACTTATTTATGCCCTCACATTTTTATTCTTTCAATCGGTACTATTAACATTATCACCGGCTTGATCAAAATTATGTCAATATGCTATATTATTTTTTTGGATTTTTTTATACAACTTAGAATAACAAACAAGCTGACGGCCCACCTGATGGAAAGTGGTAACCGTCGCCTATAGACATGAGCAGTACCATGGACATAACAGTATACTGTTTCGCCCATGATACCACCCATGCGTTGCCATCCCTGAGGACTCAGGTGTTATTCCTATGTACTCAGTAAATTCACGCCATACGCCCACCCTTCAAACCGAAACACAGCCATGCAAACACAATTGCTTCACGGATGAAACACAAATGGGACTGAGGTACCCAAGCAATCGACTTTTGTACAAAGTCTCCCTCTGGTAAGATTGGATAACAGACTTTTAACATATTCGTTCTTGAGCCAGTATATAGATATTGTAATTAAAATATATAGATATAGTATATATATATATATATATATATATATATATATATATATATTACCTACTCCTAGGATAGTAGTGCTCATGCAAATGACTTTTCTACAAGATCTCAGAACTAATTATAGCACTTAAGGTTCAAAAATATTTTTGATTAATCTATTTAGAAAATGAAATGACACGTCTTCTTAACACATTGTTTTATTGCGAACTAAAGTAACCTACTTGGACGAGACTCGCAAAGGACAGAAACATGTGGAAAAGGTTGGAAGAGGCCTATATCCTTAAATGGATACCCAAGTAAAGGAAAAGATATTATATAATATAATTTATTTTATTAAGAAAATAATTGTTATTAAATGAAATTGCATGTAATATTTTTTTCTTTATAATGGGAAATAAAAGGCTTTTTTATTTTTTATTATTTTTAAAGTAACAATCCTTTTTTTACTATTACTTTTATTATAAAATATCAAATATTGGCGTGGAGTATTAAAAGAACCCCATTTACTATAGCAATTCAGGAACACATTCATTACCATCTTCCAAAGGATTGGGATTCTCCGTGTTGACATCTTCGGCACTGTAGAGTTCCGAGGTCATCTAGAAGATAGGATTAAGCTGGTATCCAAAAAGCTCGGGGTGATTTCATAGAAATTTTCTCCCACAAACGCTCAGGCTTTGAAATAAGGTCCCTGCTGAGGTTTCCTCTAAAAACTACAGTATGGGGTTCTTCAAACAGTGTATATTAAGGTTTCTGCAGGGTCGGCAACGCGCACGTGATGCCCCTAGTGTTGCAGGCGTCCATAGGCTACAGTGATCATATACCATCAGACGGGCTGTGTATGCTTGCTGGCCACCTTTGTAGTATAAAAAAAGTACAACACTGTTAATAAAGAGACCATTATTTTTTTACAGAAACAAGCGATGCTCGTGCGACAATTAGAAGAGGAACTTCGTTTGAGGATGAGGCAACCGGCGCCTGAATTGCAACAGCAGTTGGAAGCATTGTTTTCTGAGAATGAACACCTGCAGAGAGAGATCGCGATATTGAGGGATACCATTAAGGTGAGAAGGATAGCATTATTATATTATTAACGTTTATTGCCAATTTTTATACTATACCTATTTTATTATAATGTAAAATATTGTATCCGTAACTTTTGTAAAATCTGGTAATAGTTAATTTATTATAATCTGACACATTGCGTCCAGTAGTTTATATCGACCACAAACATAAAAACTTAAAAAAAAATGTTTTTAATTAGAAATTATTATTTCCAACTAGGTCTATTGGTAAATTTTGAGTTGTATTTAGCGTTGGAGCTTGAAATTTAAACTTACTTTGTTTCTTTCATACAGGAATTAGAGTTGAGAATTGAAACCCAAAAGCAAACTCTGCAAGCAAGAGATGAGAGCATCAAAAAGTTACTTGAAATGCTACAAAATAAAGGAATGGGTATGTTCGCTGTATTAATATTGTTTATTTTGTTACTGTTTAATTGTAAAATGCGTATTGATAGTTTTAAATTTGAGAGAAAAGTTTGTGGCTCGTGTAGGAATTGTAACGTCTACTAAAATTTTAGGAAAAATAAAACATAGGACGATTTTCAGGTAAAGAAGAAGAACGGCAAATGTTTCAGCAAATGCAGGCGATGGCACAGAAGCAGGTAATTATCGTGATATAAATAAACATATTGCATGTTCTGTAAATCAAGCAAGGCCTCCAATGGTTTCCGAATCGAAAAATCTAAAACATTGGCAGCTTTGCTCTAGTTGGTAATGTCTCCTTCAGTTGTAGCTATATAGTATGCACGTTTCAATGCTTCCTTATATTTATGTATTACTAGTATTATAAACCACATGGGCGTTTTATTTTGTGATACCTTTATCATCGTCACTGTTTCTGTTAGTTGTGAACTTAATAGTTTCATTTCATTCATTTGACTTACGCCGAATGTGACTGTCGCGTTGCCTTGTATGTGACGAACTACCACGTGCCTTCACAACTCTTAAGATTCTTGCTTCTCACTCCCACGGTCTCTTGAGCCTCTGTAACACTATCAAGCTTGTTCCCCGAGCACTTGTCTCCGTTTTCTAATCTATATTACATCCACACGTGGTACAATTATCCAACGATAATCAAAATTTAAACCCGTCAACGTTATTAATTCGGCTCAAACACACAGAGAACTAAGAACGACACGAACACAAATCGATCACAACACTGCATGTTTAGCGGCTCATCATGTCCCCGTCACATGAACCTTAGAGAAGACCGTCTCGTATTTTGTTATTGGACATTAATTTGAGCAATCATTAATTAGATGCAAAATTTATTTTGTACCGCCTTTATCTGGGGCTGCGTCCGTTCTCTCGACGAGGCATCGTCTCGATTCACAATGCTCATATATAAGTTTATACCGGATCGTTCCATAGGATCGCGTATCTGGAGCCCGCGTCCCAACAATTTACCATCAAGTTACAATGAGATGGCCAGTTCAGTAATACAACCGATGGGTGTGTTATCTTCATGACGCAACTTTCGGTTTTGAATATACAAATTTTGTATATATTTTATTAAATGTATTTTAATATTAAGCTGATCCATAATATTTTAATGGATTTTTACAGTTTTTTGAGGCCAATTGGAAATATAATGGTGGAATTACCCAATATAATAATTAAGTGACAATAAACGCTTCTAGACTCGAAGCAAGATTTATCTGATGGTGAATAAATAATTAATGATGATATAATTTTCAAAAATTACCCTCACAACTCGATAGCCAAGCGCTGTTTAAGACCAGGGCCACCGTGTGCCACTGCGCAACTTGGCGGTCTCCCCGTAAATTGGCGGGAGGCAGGCTCCAGTAGTAGCAGCCCCAGCGAGGCGTGGACGAGACGCGTCGCCTGTTGTAGGTAGGTTGTATGTTGAGTGCCGCCGTCGGCGGCGGCGGGCGGCGGCGGCGGCTGACCGTCTCGCGTGACTGGCAGGAGCTCAAGGCGACGGCGGACACGCTGCGGGCGCTGCAGACGCAGCTGGAGCGCGCGCTCACCGCCGCCGGCCTGCCCGGAGGCAGTGCGGGCGCCACCCTCACCGCCGTGCTCGAGACCAAGGAAGCGCGCATCGCCACGCTGGAGCGGCAGGTCGCGTTGCTCGAGAGCGAGCTGGCCGCGCTCGTGTCGCCGCCGCCGCCCTCCCTCGCGCCCTCCCACGCCTCGCTTTTCGATAAAGCCGACCCTCCCTTCAAGAGACAAGTAAGTTTTCTGCTGAACGACGTGCGCGTGATGAAGGACGGGCGCACGAGCGCGCCGCCGGCGCGGCCGCCGCGCCCCGCGCCGCGCGCGCCGCACGCGCGCCCCGCGCCCTACTATAGTGCCACCACCCTGTGACTCCGTCACCTTCCACCGACGAGTTACCGTGTCAATTTCTCGCTTTAAGTCCGAACTAAGCCGAAGTCGTCGCCGGCTGTGTTGATTCGTAATATTTTTATGTAAACTTGTTCGTTGTTAAAGCTATTTTTATTAAATAAGAGGAATTATATTCTTGAAAGATGTCGATTGAAATATTTTTGTTAAATAGGGCCTTAGACGAAGCGAATATATAAATTTAGATGTAATTGTATGGTTAGATGAAACATGTGAGGTTGATTACGTTGACACCAAATTTGATGATTCATCGAGACTGTTTAAAATAAAGACTGTTGTGGTCGTATGCATCGAATGATATCTTCGAGTAGGTTTATGTGAAATTCCTTCGAAATTTATGATTTGATCATGTTGTGCTTTCGGTGTGATCGCAACTCATACCTAGTCCAGTACGAGCTTTCCCGCGCCACCCGTCATCTAGTCTAGTTCACCACGACCCGACCTCTTCATGTAGACGTCATGTTTCATCCGTTTCTATCACAGTAACGGTAGTAAATGTATCACAACATAGGCGCCCGTGCATTCGACTATGTTTACTATCCATCTCTTTTGGTACTGTTAGTTATTAATTCCTGGAAAACTTTCTACCGGCATACAATCAATCAATCTTCTAACTTATGACTATTATTATTTAGCATAGAAAGTTTTCCAGCTATAAGTGTCCATTTTATTGACTTGATGATTCGGTACTATTGTTATATTAAGACGACGATTAATTATGATAATAATAATGTTATTGCATGCGGTATAGTATGGGAGAATGTTGAAATGTCTTCCATGACACCGTTACTATTGTCATTGAAACAAAAGTGCTGGAAACATTTCTTACCTTATAAAGTACACGTAATAAAGCTTGCGACGCTTTTCATTTGTCGGTACAGTCGTTACATCATAAACTAAACCAGTATTACTAACGACCATTTCTGAACCAGTATTATTATTAAGTAGATTTAAACTTTTTAACAGCAATATCATTTCTGCCATCACTTTTGCCTAAGTAGATAGTTTTTACATGTTATTGTTGAAATCTGTTATAATTATGTTATACTAATGTCGTTTTGAATTGATCTAATTCTATACCGACTTTCGGATGGATGGTGGAATGATGTTCAGTTGGACGAGTTTCGTCTGGAGATCCAGAGGAGAGACCAGGAGATATTGGCGATGGCGGCGAAGATGAAAGCACTGGAGGAACAGCACCAGGATTATCAGCGTCACATAGCTGTTCTGAAGGAGTCACTGTGCGCGAAGGAGGAACATTACAGCATGCTGCAAACAGACGTTAGTGATTTTTGAAGACCTATTTTCTTATGTCGTTCGATGTTACTATATATAAAATATCTAATATTTATTATAATGAGAGCTGAATCGTACATACATATAAGGTAACGATCTTAGATTTTTTTACCGTCATTTGTAAACCGATTTGGAAAATTATTTTGTAAAGAAAGGATATATAATACTTTCAGATAGTACTTTCGGTTTGATGCCATAGAAATTTTATCAAAATTCGATTAAGAAGTTCAGTTTTTAATTCAAAATAATTGTTTTCTGCCATTTTTGAATTCGGTGTTGGTTTTTGTATTACAAAATTTACTCGTTTTACAATTGAAATTTTATTTTTTCCGTTAGGTCGAAGAGCTTAAAGCTCGATTGGACGAGAAGAGTAGACTAGTGGAGAAGAAGACAGCAGCAGCGTTGGCAGCTGCCCACGAGTTGGCAGAACTTCGAGACCACTCTGAGATCAAAGATCGAAAGATCAACGTGCTCCAGCGCAAGGTAAAAAATATTTTGCTGAGTGTTTTTAGACGTATAATAAGGTTTATTATCGCTTGGCTAAAAGCTGTAGGTGACTATCAGTATTAAATTACTTAATTATTACGAGATACTGCCTGTTCCATGTTAAAAAAGTGGGAAGTGTAATGTTATGCGCATTATATAAAGGACTTTATTCCTCATTAGTAAAAAAAAAAGGATGTTTAATGCACTGAACTGCGTTCATTCTGTGCTTACTGGAATATGCTAACGGAATTATCTGTCAACTTTCAAAATAACTTTCAAACTTTACATATAGTAATTGATTAAAAAAATGTTCTGAAAGCAAACTAAAATTTTAACTACAAAATAAGTTGCACAATAATAATCTCTCAATAAAAATAGTCCTCTTAATTATTTTGTATTTAAGTTTTCAAATACTTGAATATTTTATCATCAAATTTAAAATTTCAATTAACAAAAATCTCATAATTAACATTTTTGTTTATTATCAGAGCATATTTTAAATAATCAAAAATACTATAAATTACTCCAATTGTATTTCAATTCAATTATGTTCCATAAAAAAAAAAAAAAAACTTAAATTGTAGTAAACCCAGTTATTTTAATTTAATTTAAAACTAAACTACTACTATGTAGATCCTTTCAGATAAAGTAAAATATAATTTTTTTAATCGGTAGTACAACTGATGGAGTTATGAGGTAACAAACAATACAACCGAAAGGTAAAATAATACAATCGACTTGAGAACCTTCTTTTTTTGAAAACGATTAAAAATGATAGATAATTTTCAAAAGTTCCACTTTAATTATGAAGACTGTTAACATTACATATCTAACTTCGTTAACAATGACGGGTAGGAAAATCAAGTAATAACAAAATATGTTTATTATTACTTGATCATCTTTCATTAAAAGTAAAACTACAAATGCGCTGACAAACATCTTCACAAAGAAACGACCATAAAAAAATTTTGTTTTTTCAACTGTAAATAAAGTGTAGCTATTCTAAACTGAATTAATTATTCAGTTATTCATAATATTATATAGGATGAAATTGAAAAGGTTAGCATCTTTTTAAGACAGTGTTTTGTTAGTTAAATTAAAAATTTTTACCTAAAATCTTTTAGTAAAAAAATTAAGTTCACTTAGTCGCCTCTTAAAAAAAAGGTGTGTAAAGGAAAAAAAAACGCCTGTATCATAGGCACTATAATATTCTATAATAGCATAAATATATTTTTAATTTTACATACCGCTACCGTTTTAGATTCCATCCTGTATATTGTATCAATTATTGATAGGAAGGGACTGAAAATACGACATTCCAATTACATAAAATTATATCGGTGTAAAATTCATATACTTTCATTTATTACACATTATATGATAATGTATAAGTTTTATTTATTGGCTTTAGAAAAGAATGGTGAAATATAATGTGACTTTATTTCCACATTTTTTATTAATGATTTTTTAATATGTAGATATGATATATCTATCTTTTTAAAGGGCAACAACTGAGTATGTTTGTTATTTTTAGCGTAGTTTTGGATACTAATAAATAGCATTTATATTAACTTTATATAATAATATAATATATAATTTATGAAATATACACTCTTTAAAAATATCATTATTTGCTACATTAAGTAATATGATAAAAAAAATCTACTCATTGATTTTATTAATTGATTGCGAATTATAATTTTCTTAAATCATTCCTTAATAATGTACATGTATTTTTTTGTATAAGTATTTGAAAACATATTTCCATTTATTTTTTAATCTTTAATTAAATTATACTTTATTATTTTTTTAGTATTATATAATTTTTAATATAATTAAGTACGTCTTCGTCATATAGCTCGAAGAACTGACAACTGATGGAGGAAAAATATGTTTGAGTGACAGGCAAATACAATGTAAGACAAACCCCCACTAGAATAAGAATAAGAATAATTTATTTGCTCGAAATGTGGTACAAAGGTCTTAAAATGGTAACCGAGCTACACATTTCGCCTTATCTAAAGGCATGCAAATTTTGTCCTAGCACATGTTAAGTAAAAATTCATCAATTATGCATGTCCAAACAATTATTCCAAACACATATTAATTGTTACATTGAATTAGTTAATTGTCAAAATTTAAAAATAGTCGATATTATAGTTATAAAGCATTAAAATTGTACATGTCATATTATTAATATTATTACGTAAAATGCATTCTTAGTCTAATCTACCATTCAGACTTACAAATTCTTTTATCGTGTAAAAACACTTTTCAATAAGCCAATTTCGTAGTTTTCTTCGGAAAATTTCAAAGGGCATTTCACGAAATGACTGGGGTATCTTATTGTAAATATTTATGCACATCACAAAACAATTTTTATGATAGAGGCTACTCTTACATATAGGCATGTGTAGTTTGGTAGGGTCCCTAGATGGAGAGGCGACCTCAAATGTATTCCAGGAAGCCAGTGGATACAGGTGGCTCGGGACTGTTTCTTATGGCAGTTTATTGGGGAGGCCTATGTGGATCCACCAGTGGATAGTTATCAATTAAGATGACGATGACAATGATGAATCTTTGGGAATGACAAGTGAAGTGATATGAAATTAGAAATAAAATGAGTAGTTAAGAATTACACACCTAACCCAATTCACTATGCCGATGCAGTCATTGATTTTACTTTTTTTTTATACCACTGAGGTGGCAAACAAGCATATGGCCCATCTGATGGTAAGCGGTTACGGTAGCCTATGAACGCCTGCAATATCAGAGGTATTACGCGCGCGTTGCTGACCCTGAAGAAACCTCTTTACCCCCCTTTTGAAGAACCCCATGCTGTAGTCTCTTGGGAAAACCTCGGCAGGGAGCTCATTCCATACGATGTTCCATGTTCGTACGAGAAAACATCTCTGAAATCGCGTTGTAGGCGACCATTTAGGATGTAGGGTATGAGAGTAAACTCCCTATCGATGGCGAGCCGTACGATGGAAGAAAATGGCGGTAGGCATCATATTAAATAATTCCTCTGAGCACAATCCATTGTACAAGTGGTAGAACACACAAAGTGAGACAAAAGTCTCTCCTAAGAATTAAAGGTTCGATACCGCTTGCAAGCCTGGGATCATCGACGATTCTCATAACTCATCGTTACACTAAATCGTTGCACTTACTTTTTTTTTATACAACTTAGAATGGCAAACAAGCCGACGGCCCACCTGATGGAAAGTGGTAACCGTCGCCTATAGACATGAGCAGTATGATGGTCATAACAGAGTATACTGTTTCGCCCATGATACCCCCATGCGTTGCCATTCTTGAGAACTTGGGTGTTATTCCTCTGTACCCAGTAAATTAACGCCATATCCCACCCTATAAATAATCTATAAACACAGCCAAACCCATGATACACCCTCTTGCGTTGCCATTCTTCAGGACACATATTTTTTTTATACAACTTAGAATGGCAAACAAGCTGACGGTCCACCTGATGAAAAGTGGTAACCGTCGCCTATAAACATGAACAGTACCGTGGACATAACAGAGTATACTGTTTTACCCATGATACCTCACATGCGTTGCCATTCCTGAGGACTCAGATGTTATTCCTCTGTACCCTGTAAATTCATGCCATATCCCACCCCTCAAACCGAAACACAGCCATGCAAACACAAATGAGACAGAGATGCCCAAGCAATCGACTTTTGTACAAAGTTTCCCTTTGGTGTGTGATGAAAAGTGGCAATTGCCTACTACAAATATTACCAGCACCATACACACCGCATATACTGTGACGCCTCATGCGTCTTGGACATCACAGATTACACTGTAATGTCACGTGAAAATCAGGTGTACAAGAATTTATGTTTCTATATCCTGCAATTTCTCTGTCATATTCCACCTTTCGAATCGAAACACAACCATGCTAGTGTGCTGCTTAGACGCAGAAACACAAGAGGAATGCAGGTACTTATGTAGACGTCATTTGTACAAAGTCTTTCAAGTAATTCAATTATTTAAATAATTATGTACTTTCTACATAATTGTTCATATAATCGTGTCATGTGTGCATCCAAGTAAAACAATATTATTTGAACATTGTGTAAATTCGAGAATTGATTTTTGTATGTAACGCAAAAAAGTTTATGTCGTCATCATTTCTTAACCTAATTTGATGAGTCTTTTCGTTTATTTATGTACTAAGTTTTTATCCGCTACTGCCAATGGTTTTCAGATATATCGAGATAAAACATATATCAGTTTTTAAGTGAGATCTTCAGGAATACAACATTGCATTCAATTTGGTGCAATAGTTGTTAAGTGATGCCGGAACAAATATATAGGCAGACAGTCAAAATTATTAAAAATTATTATTTTGACTTCTATTGCACATACTAAAATCTCTTATATATATATATTCTTTCTTTAAATATCTTCTATATACATACATCGTTCAACAATAACTTTATTTTATTCGTAAGATACTTTCTTGACCTAATGATACAACCAAAAATATTGTGCCAAAATTGTAAAATGTGAGAAAATCCAATTTTCAATAATCTGTTAAACTAATTACCTAATTTAACGACTTCGATATAAGCCAGGGCTTGTTTACTGATAACGTATCTTACTTCGCAACGATGCCGTGTAATTACTTCAACTTAGTTCTTAATTGTGTTGTAGTTGTGTGTTTACAGAGCTAGGATTAATTTGTGCTTTTTTTTTTTGTTTCTAGTAAAGTTGTGTGCTAGTTATTTTCATTATAGGTATGTTTCTTTTATTTCTGTACACGTTATACTTTATTTCAAATATTTGTTTTTGTTTCGTCAAGGTATGTAATTGTTTTTGTTTACTTATTATTTCTTAAAATATTTTTTTTTCTGTTTGTTTAATTTTGATCTATTAATTAATGAATTTTAAAAATTATTGTTCTAAAATTATTTTTGTTTTTCAGATTGAAAACCTTGAAGACCTCCTCAAAGAAAAAGATAATCAGGTTGACATGGCAAGAGCTAGACTAAACGCTATGCAAGCACACCATTGCTCGTCAGAAGGCGCGCTATCCTCCTTAGAAGAAGTTATAGGAGACAAAGAAAAACAAATCCAACAGTTACGGGAACAAAGAGATAGAGCAGAACACGAAAAGAACGAAGAAAGAGAACTCCACGAAAGAGAAATAGCAGAATACAAGATGAAACTACATGCTTTGGAAAGTGAGGTTGAAAAATTAGGTGCTAGACTCGAAAGAGCTCAGGCGGAGAAAGATCGACTCGAGGCTAAACTTGAAAGTTCCCAGTCTGAGTTAGGAAAATCAAAAGCCGAACTTGACAAAGCAGCAAGTGAAGTTGGAAGATCAGGTGCTGATTGGGAAGCAGCGAAACAGCGTTTGGCTCGGCTTGAGCTTGAAAATGAACGGTTGAAACATGAATTAGAAAGGTCTCAGACAACATTCGGAAGGAGCACGTTAACTACCTCGCAGGAACTTGACAGAGTTCAAGAGAAGGCCGATAAGTCTGCAGCGGAATTAAGACGAACTCAGGCAGAATTGAGAGTTACTCAGGCGGATGCTGAAAGAGCACATTCTGAAGCTAGTGCGCTGCAGGACAAATTAGAAAAGTCACAAGGTGAGGTATACCGTCTTAAGGCTAAACTTGAAAATGCACAAACAGAACAAGACAGTCTAAAGGAGGAATACGACAGGTGAGTAACTTATCAGATCTGTTTGGTTACTATTATAAATATAATATAGATATATTATGGAATAATAAAATACAATGCTAGATATATTATCCTATTGTAATATAATAATTGTGAAACATTTATAACAATAGATGAATGAATGGATGGATATTTGTTACTCTTTCAAAAACTACTGAACGGCTTTGATTGAAATTTAGTACTCTGGTAGATTATCGTCATCGTCATCATCATCATCGTGATGTTAGATTATATCCTAGTCTTAAATAATAATAACCTGCTGACGTTTTCTTAAGACACTACAAGACGTGGTTCTTCAAAAGGAGGTAAAGAAGTTCCTTCAAGGTCGGCAACGCGCGCGTAATACCGCTGGTATTGCAGGCGTTCATAAGCTATATTTTTTTTTAATGGGTGATAATGGTATGGTAACTCCGTCTGCGCTATTGGTATACACTGGCGGGGCACCAGTGACGGATGACAGATGATGATGAAAGTAGGTCAGTCATCCTGACGAATTAAACTAGAATTAGTCACGATGGTTTCCAGGGGGATCCACGTGGAGGTCGACCTGACAGGGTATATTGCTAGTAATAGGGCTATTTGACCCCATTACTAACAATCCCTTTTCCCCCTTATCATAAGCTATATTAATCGTTTAACTTTAGGTGGATTGTATGCTTATTTGGCACCTCAAGGGTATTAAAATAATAAAGAATTTGAAAACAACAAATGGGAGGCTAGAAATTTATGAATATTAAAATATTGGAAATAGCAAACAAGTTGATGCCCCACTTGATGGAAAGCTGTAACCGCCATCTGTAGAATAAATAACACTATGGACATAAAATATTTACTGCCCGCCATAAGCGTAACCGTATCCCTTATCTGTTGTCACTTTTAAGGGTTTTTATGGTTCTTATATCAAATGTTATTCAAGCTATCCTTTGGTCCAAAATAAGCAACGCGCAGGAGACTAATATAAAATTTTACCGCCAACAAATGTGAAATTATATATTCAGCAATAGATATGCTTATTATAAATGTTAAAGGAAGTTTGTTTTTTTTCTCTCTTGTCTCTTGGCGCTTTAGCGGTTTATCAATCACGAGTGAACGATAATGTTGTTTTTTTTTATCAAACAAAATATACTATATTCTACAATAACTTACCTATTTTATTTTCTATGTTATATAAAGAAATAATTTAGTATTAAAAAATAAATTTTTAAAACAGGGTGCAATCCTCGATCAGTCGACTCCACTCCGAGCGCGATAAAGCCGTAGCAGAGCTGGATAAAGCGCGCGAAGAGCTAGAGCGTACACAAGCCACTCTGGGCAAGGCACAGCTTCAGCAAGACAAGCTCCAGGCGTCTCTCGACTCGGCGCACACCGAGATTGACAAGCTTCAAGAGAAATTGGACAAGTCTGCTGTTGAAGTTAGAAAGGTGAGTAAATTAATAATTAAAGGAGTCACACAATCATATCAATAGAATCATCATTGTCATCGCAGTCGTTATCTGTCCATTGCTGCTGGACATACTCCTCCCACATAGACTGCCTATATACTCGTATATAAGGAACGGTCCTGAACGGTTCAGGATTGTTTCAAAATCAGTTAGTTTTAAATTTAAAAAAATGAATAAACAAGTGCTTAAGTTTATTTGAATATAAAGAATATTTCAATAAATTTACAATACCTATTATATATATATATATATATATATATATATATATATATATATATATATATATATATATATATATATATATATATATATTGTTTGCCATTCTAAATTGTATAAAAAAAAACCCCAAAGGGAGGTCTGTGTATAGCAGTGGACTTTATATATATATATATATATATATATATATGTATGTATGTATGTATGTATGTATGTATGTATGTATATATATAACGAGAAATTAACATAATAATAATAATAATAATTATTAATTATAAGCCTTCCAAAGTCCAACCCCGCGTCCGAGCTCACCATCTAGCTCACGTGGAAGGCGGTCACGCGTATAAATTAAACCTACGCGGCTAAAGGGGCAATGGCAAAAATAAAGATGGCGAATAATAATAACGGAGAGAGTATAGGGTCGCTGCCCGGGGGTCGCCGGGGCGCGTCTACAACTGGCGGTAGGCGCGGCAGAATGCGAGCCAGCCGACCGGCCCCACCACCTGGCCGGTCCGACCCCTCGCCATCGACATCAGCTGGCTTGGCGCCGGCAGGGCCGTCACAGGCCCAGCAATCGGTGCCCGCCACTGGTGGTACACGTCGCATGAGGTGGACAAGAGCCATGAATGAGGACCTCATGCGTGCGTTCTTCAGGGCTACAGGGACAGAAACAGGCAGAACAGGATACCGGGCAGTAATGCACCGCGAGTTTCTGCGTCTTTTACCGGATCTAACCGTCTCGGAACAGAACTTAGCCGACAGAGTTCGGTACATACAGCGCTCTGGTATGTTTAGCGCGACCGAACTCGAACGATTGCGAAGTGAAGTTGTTCCAGAAGCAAACTCCGCGACCGTAGAGCAACCCATCTCAGACGTGCTACCTAGCGTAGAGGTGGTTGCCGAAACGCTTTCAGAAGCGGATGCGGACGGAACAACTTCCCAGGATATAGAGCATATGAGGAGCATACTAGAGGAGGCGATTCTAGAGATCCGAAGAACTCCCCTCGAAGAGAGACCGAAGCTTCCCCGGATATATCCAAATGTGGCGACGCGGGATGCCATTGAGGCCACAAATGGACTGCTGCCTCAGTACCTTGAGGGCAGCGGTGACCTGGGAGAGACGAGTTCAATCCTGTTTGGCGCTGCGTTGGCAGTATGCCGATATACCGGCGCAAAAATGCCCCGGGCTGGACGTAATATCCAAAGGGATAATATGAAACCAGCCTGGAAAAGAAGGATTGAACGACGGATCGCCCAGGCCAGAGTCCTCATTGGTAGACTGCTCTGCTTCAGGGAGGGCAACACACGCCCGAGAATTATGCGCTCCGTAAAAGAGGCCTTTGCTGGGACAGGTGTACGTCTGTTCCAGCCGGACTTCGGGCACAAACTTACGGAGCGCATAGATGAACTGAAGCAGAAGATCGCTGCATGGGGGAAGCGACTCCGACGGTACTCTGAGAGGGTTGAGAGGTATCAACAGAATCGCCTCTTTATGAGTGATCAACGGAAGTTTTATAGGAACTTGGAGCGCCCAAAACTACAGCCCACAGGACAAAGACCCGAAACAGCCAATTTCGTCGCCTTCTGGAGACAGCTGTGGTCTGAACCTGTGGAACATGAGGAGGGCGCATGGATGCACGATGTTGAGGAAGCATGTGCTCGAATAACGCCGATGAACGCCATTGCCATTACGGAGGAAGACGTGGTTGCCGCGATTCGTCGGGCTCCGAACTGGAAAAGTCCGGGGATCGACGGATTGTAGCACTACTGGTTAAAGGCGTTCTCGGCCAGCCATGCGACCATAGCCGTGCAATTCCAGAGTGCCCTCGAAAACAGGACGCTCCCGAACTTCCTTACAACCGGGATCACTCATTTAGCTCCTAAGACGGACGATACCGCGGATCCATCTAAATATCGCCCCATTACTTGTCTTACGACAATATATAAGACGTTAACATCCGTTCTGAGCGCTAAGATCTCTCGTCATGTGTACGAGAATAAGATCCTATCTAGCGCTCAGAACGGATGCAGGGGCGGTAGCCGCGGATCGAAGGAGCTGCTCCTCATTGATGCTGTCGCTGGCCACGTGGTCAAGCGGAACCGTCGGAATTTCTCCGCCGCCTGGATAGATTATAAAAAGGCGTTCGATTCCGTGCCCCATTCATGGCTCCGGAGGATACTCGAGCTGTACAAGATCGACGGTACAGTTCGAGTGTTCTTGGAGGCATGCATGAGGCAGTGGACGACGATCCTGACTATCCAGGGCGAGCGATTGACGGATACCGCTGACCGGATAGAGATAAAGAGAGGAATATTCCAGGGCGATTGTTTGAGTCCACTTTGGTTTTGCCTGTCCCTGAATCCACTCAGTACTTTACTGGAGAATTCGGGGACTGGATTTCAGTATCGGAGAGGAGGTACACGAGTGTCTCACCTTCTGTACATGGATGACTTGAAACTGCTAGCTCCGAGCATCGAACGCCTGACGGAGCTGCTAAATATCGTAAACGATTATAGCAGCTCTATTAGGATGGCGCTCGGAATAGACAAGTGCGCGGTCCTCCATGTGCAGAGGGGACGGGTCACTCAAACTGAAGGGATCGCCACAGATCCCTCTAATATTAAAACCCTCTCCGAGGCTGAAACATACCGGTATCTGGGCATGTCACAAAACATCGGTGTGAAGGAGACGGATATGAAACAGTCAGTCCGCGAGGAATTTTTTGCGCGCCTTACAAGAGTACTGAAAAGTTCTTTGTCGGGCGCCAATAAAATCCGAGCTTATAACGGCTGGGTCATACCCGTACTCCTTTACACTTTTGGCGTGCTCAGATGGTCTCAAACCGAACTCGAAGCCCTGGATCGGAAAGTCCGCACAACTATGACCCTCCATAGAATGCATCACCCGAAATCGTCAGTCATGAGGCTGTATATCCCGCGGAAAGCTGGTGGTCGAGGCTTGTTAAGCGTTAAGACCATGCACAACCGCGAGATTGACAGCCTCAGGACATATTTTCTGGAGAAAAGAGACGAGGGTTTGCATAGAGAGGTCATAGAATGTGACAAAGGATTCACCCCTCTTTCTCTGGCTAAAGAGGACTGGCGAAAACCCGAAGTTTTGGGTACCTCTCAGCGGGAGGCCGTATGGAAAGAGAAGGAGTTGCACGGAAGGTTCTTCAAAGCCCTTCACGGGCCGTACGTAAACACGAAGACCTCCGTGCACTGGCTACAGTTCGGTGATCTCTTCGGAGAGACCGAGGGTTTTGTCTGTGCAATACAGGATCAGGTGGTTAAGACGAACAATTACCGAAAGCACATTCTGAAGGATGGCACTGAGGACATCTGTCGAGCATGTCGCCATCCCGGAGAGTCACTCAGACATGTGCTTTCGGGTTGTTCAGCTCTTGCCAACACTGAGTACTTGCACAGACACAACCAGGTAGCCAAAATACTCCATCAAGAGCTAGCTCTGAAGTACGGCCTCGCGAATGAGAGGTTGCCGTACTATAAGTATGAGCCCCAGCCGGTCTTCGAAAGCGACAGCGTAAGGCTCTACTGGGACCGATCCATCATCACGGACAGGACCGTTCTTGCGAACAAACCTGATATCGTGGTGATGGATCGGGCACTCTCGAGGGTGTTTTTGGTGGATGTCACCATACCGCATGACGAGAACCTCGTGAAAGCCGAAACCGAGAAGAAGAGAAAATATCTCGACCTGGCTCACGAGGTGACCGAAATGTGGGGGGTGACATCTACCGAAATCATCCCAATCGTTATGTCGGTGAACGGTCTTATCCCAACCAGTCTCGAACAACATCTCAGACGGTTGGGATTCAGAGGCGGTTCACTTCCGGGAAAGATGCAGAAAGTGGTGCTCTTAGATTCTGCCCGCATTGTACGCCGGTTTCTCTCCCTGGGGCCCTGAACCCCGGCCGACTGTGCTTCTGCCGGGGGTTAGTTGCCATCTCCTCTCCTTAAGAGGGGAGATGAGAATTTTAGTGAAATTTAAAAAATAATAATAAACAATTACTCGTATTTCAACTTTATCCAGAAGTCTCCTTCAGGGTATGGGTATAAAAAAAATAACTTAGTAATACTTTTAATTACATACAAATACAAACGTATTATTTTCTTCCCAAAAGAGACCCTTTAACATAATGACAATTTGTACATCGTTTATGAAAATATCGTATAAAATAATTTAATAATGTACTCGAGATGTTGTCTCCTTACAATTGCTTTGAGAACAATGAGGTTAGGATAAATTGAAAGTAAAATGTAAATAATGCTCTTTGAATATAAATTGCAATTTTTACAATGTGACACCAATAGTGATGTGCCGAGACGAATCGATTTTTTTTTATTTACATTATTTTGGTACTCGTTAACAAGTATGTTTTGGTATGTAGTTTAAAAAACAAGATTACCCTGTCAAATATGCATATGGGTAGCCAATTCAGTTAACTGTAGGTGAAAGAATTGTTTAAAAAATTGCGTAGTTTTGAGCTTATCCATTACAAATAAGTAATCAATATTTTCCTCTTTATGAGTATAGATCGAATTAGCAATGAGGAGGTCCTGCTTAGGGTTAAGGAAAAAAGATAAATTATTAGAACTATTGAGGACAAAAAAGGAAAAATGTTGGGACACTTGATACGACACGACGAACTTATGAACATTATAATAGAAGGTAAGATAGAAGGAAGGAGGGGGAGAGGGAGACCGAGACACAGTTACATCAGGCAGATCAAGGAAGGAGTTGGTGTCGTGTCGTATCAAGAGGTGATGAGACTCGCTGAAAATCGTAGTGAGTGGCAAGAGCTCCACCGACAAGAGCGCAGCTCTTAAATAGGACAGATATGAGTATAGATAATAGAATGATAACTCCGTGTGCCCTATCGTTATACGCTGGTGGGGCACCAGGAATGATAGGTGGAATAATAGGCGAGGATAAAGGTAGATCAGCTGGCCCATTATGAAGTATTCATCACGAATTAATCACGATGATTTCCAGGAGGGGACTAAGTGAAATTCAACTTGATATATCTAGCAATAGGGTTAAGTCCTAATTACTAACAATCCCCAACACTAGTTCCTAACTACTAATCCCTCGAGAGAGAGAGAGATCGCGTTCATGTTTATGATTATAAGTTTGTATGGAAATCTAAGTTTGAAACTATCTCCTTACAAGTTTTCAAGACAAATAATATGAATGCGATCGTAAATCTTTCTACTATTCATTCTAGGCACGCAGGGTTGTCAAAAACAGAAATCGAAGAAAAAATGCATATAAACAGTTATTATAATCTATTTCAATAAGATTTCAATAGAACTTCATCATCATCATCATCATATCATCCTTTGTTTTGTCAGTAGTTGCCACGCTTGGCAGGTAAATTGGTGATCGCAGTTTTTTTTTAATGGGTGACAATGGAATGGTAACCCCACTCGCGCTATTGGTATACACCGGCGGGGCACCAGTGAAGGATGATAGGTGAGGATGAAGTAGGTCAGTTAGCCCACCGTGACGAATTCAACAAGGATTGTTCACGATGGTTTCCAAGGGGAACCACGTGGAGGTCGACCTAATAGGGCATATTGTTAGCAATGGGGCTGCCAAACTCCTTTGCTAACAATCCCTTTCCCCTCTGGTGATCGCAGTTAGGCTCTAGAGAAGTTTTAAGAGAAACGCTACTGCCCATACACCGTTCTCCTTTTGTCGGTTTTTACGGCACACACGGGAAAGGAAGGGGTGGCCTATTCTATGCCGGGACCACTCGGCCAGTTCAATAGAACTTAAATATGGGTAATTTTTAGCAAGTGCGATTTCTGTTTAATTTCGGTGAACATTTTGGTTGTTGAAAAGTTGGTGTCTCCAAAAAATATTTTTTAAAAAGATTTCTTGAAATATAGATAATAAGATGTCGGTATTTCTGGGCAGTCGAAATTGAAAGCACAGTTGAAAGGTCCATCGAAGTTCAACAGGGGTCGCATTCAGCTGAAAATCACCCCAATAATTTAAGATTTTCACAAAAAAAATATTTTCATTCGTGGTAAAACTACTTATTTTGTTTTTAAAACTAAACCAATTTTGATAAAATTTCTAAAAAATCAATTTGAAAGTATATCCTTCCAAATTAATTGTACAAATCGGTTTCTAAATTTCGGAGTTCAGAAGTAACAAACGTAAATAAGAATTGAAAATCTGCTACGTTTTCGAAATAGATATAGGAATGATAAAAATATAATATATATGAATGATAAAAGTATAAATAAATAAATAATTGACCCAACTAAAAGACAGTCTGCCTGTAGGGCGCTAGTTCTAGATTTAATAAATCAAAAATCGATCGATTAATTGAATATTTAGATTTGTTACTAATTTCATTTTGAGAGCGTTTCTGTAATAATTACAATAAACTTTGGTTACCTCTCCATTTAGTTTGAAACAGACTGTATGATTCTAATAATGACAGAAGTGATTACTACTTTGAATATATCTTTTTGGATATATGTGATGCAAAATCCTTGTCAATTGCTTTATGATAATTTTTAAAATAAATTAAAGAGGAGTAAAATACAGAGATTTTAATTATTTTTTTTTTAATTTCGTAATCACAAAAAAAATTATATAATTCGTTATGAGTTATATAAGATTTTTTTCATCATTACCAGTTGTTTAATTTCTTCTAAAATCTTTTTTAATATTTATAAAATTAATAACATAATGAAAATAAAATCCTTACTTTTTTAATAATGTTATGTGAGTTTGTTTCTCACCTCATATCGCTTAAACGGCTCAACCACTTTTTATGAAATTTAATGTATACGTACTATATGAAATGGAAATGATATATTTCTATATAGGTTATATCTATATAGCCTATGATCTCCATTCCATAAACATCTTTTTATCCTTTTCAATCCACTTACCTTGGTTACTAAAGCTAAAAAGTAAGTAAAAATAATACAAAAATTTCGTCGGATTGTATATTTAATATTTCGATTTCCACAGCTACAAGTGGACAGGGAGAAACAATCGTATGACTTCGAATCGCTGCAATCTCAACTGGACAAGGCGCTGGGTCAAGCCGCCAGGCTTCAAAAAGAGAGGGATACGGCCCAGCTTGACGCTGAGAGGTTCCGGGACAAACACGATAAGGCACAGGTGAGTTTATATTTCCTTTTAGATTTTATGTGGCTTTGTGGGCCGCATCCATCTCAGAATACGAGTGGAGAAGGAATCGTGATGAATTTAGCACCTAGAATTTAGCACGATGGTTTTCAGGGGGGATCATGTGGAGGTCGACATGGTTGGGTATATTGCTAGCAATAGGTCTCTATTATTAACAATCCCTTTTCCTCCGCCGTTAAAGGTTACAATAACATAAATTACTGGTACAATGTAAAAAGTCACCGGCTATTGTTTATTTGTTAATTTACATTCGAAATTCAAGCGTAGTCGAGGGTATAGATAGAATTGCCTCAATATAATTCGCTTTTCTTTCGTTATTTTAGTTATAAAAAAAAAAGTGTTTTCGTATAAAGGAATAATATAATGTAATAGTTATAATAAAACGCAGAGCCCATATAGCGTTTAGTTTTTGCTAAACCTCCTTACGTCGTGTAAGCCCGGGAAATAAATTTAATGGAATACATAACGGAATGAGTAGTATTATACTAAATATAAAAAAAAAAATACAATAACTTTTTATACAATGCCAAAATTTCTCTGTTGTGTAAGAGAAGAGAAAAATATTACTTGTATTAGTCGAAGGTTAATAATATTATTAGATACACACTCCAATTTTCTTTAGAAAACATATATTCATTATTAAAATTTATATATTTTTTTATACAACTTAGAATGGCAAACAAGCTAACGGTCACCTGATGGAAAGTGGTAACCGTCACCTATAGACATGAGCAGTATGAGCAACATGATAACCCCCATGCGTTGCCATTCCTGAGGACTGATGTGTTATTCCTTTGTACCCTGTAAATTCACTGCCATACCATGTTTGTATGGTTGTGTTTCGGTTTGAAGGGGGGGACCCTTCTAATCGAAACACAACCATACAAACACAACTGCTTCACGGTAGAAACACCAATGCGACAGAGGTGCCTAAACAAACGAATTTTGTACAGTCTCCTGTCCTAAATTAACCTAATAAATATCATGTGGTTTGAGTAATTTTTAATCAAATTATTTAAAAACATCAAATAAAAATTACGCCTTACTGTACTTATACAATTCTGTCGTTATATTTGTTAATTGTCTTGCTTATTTCCTATATTGTATAATGCACATAAAGTATACTCATTCTCTCTCTTCGTCCTCTTCATTACTGAAGCTCGTGTCCTTGTCTGTTGCCTCTCTTATGATGTTACTCATTCATTCATTCAAAAATCGTTGTTGACTGACCGTTTTTTAACCGACTTCAACAGGACAGATTTTTTTATCTGCTACCTTATAACTCCGTCGGCTGTAAACCAATTTGGAAAATTCTTTTTTTATCTAAAAGGTATACCCTTTCAGATAAAAAAGACAGTGTGTTCTCATAGAAATTTTATCAAGTACAGTATTTTAATGTTTAAATCGAAATATCTTATTTTGCGTGAAATTAAGTCGGTTTTTATGTTAAGAAACACAATCTTAATTATTGATTCGATTTTTAACAGTCGACGTTCCATCTTGGGTTATAAATCTACTACAATATATTCGTGACCTCATAGCCGACCACGCTCGACTGAACTCAATGAACGTTTGAAATTTATCACAATGTTGGCATTCAATGGTAAATAAATTGTAGATGTACTTGTGGAACTTACCGCCGGCGCCGCACCGTCTAGACGCGCCGGTTTATGGAGTGGCCTAAATATTTTTATTTCCCTGGCCTCTTTACAGAGATGTTTGAATTAAGAACACTTAATGTGCGTTTTCAATCGACTTTTAGATGCATTATTATTATTATATCAACTGTTAACTGTCCGCTATTGATAGCATAGGCCTCCCCTTGTGAGGGATTCCGAATAATGATTTTTTAAAGTTTCACTTTGATGGGCCAGAACATAAATAAACAATAATATGTTGTTTTTTTGTTGGGTGAAAATGTATGGTAACCCCGCCTGCGCTAACGGGATACGCTGGCGGAGCACCAGTCAAGGGTGATAGATGAGAATGAAAACAGGCCAGTTAGCCCATCATGATGAATTCATCAGAAATTAACCATGATAGTTTTCAGGGTTAACCGCGAGGAGGTCGACCTGGTTTGGTATATTGTTAGCAATGGGATTCTCAGTTTCCATTACTAACAATCCCTTTCCCCCCCAATAATATATGTTTATTATTACTTGATTTTGCTGTGTGGTCCTGGCATGGAATGTGCCACCCCTTTCTTTCTCGTAGATGTCATAAGAGAAGTGTCAACTACTTGCAAAATTCCCCAAGGGAAAGGCTTATATTCAGAAGTGGACACTTAATGGTTGTATTGTTATTGTCATATATATATATGACACCCGTGCGTGCGACACCGGGGCGAGTAACTAGTTAAATAATACATAAACAAGTAACTTGCACACTAGCGCCGTTGAGTCTAGACAAGACTACTTTGTAAGTGAAGTGGCCTAAATGTTTTATTCCTCTGGCCTCATTAGAGGTTATTGAATTAAGAGTAAAGTTCTTATTTATTAGTTGAATTTCTGATTCAGATTTTTTATTTGCATTAAACATGGTTATATTAAAATTTTTTATGTGATTTAGAATGACAAACAAGCCGACGGCTCACTCGAGGGAAAACGGTAACCATTTTATAGGCATGAACAGTACCATGGACGTAATAGAGTATACTGTTTCGCCCATCATACCATCCATGCGTTGCCATTCATGCGGACTCAGGACCCACTTTCCATCAGGTGGGCCGTCAGCTCGTTTGCCATTCTAAGTTGTATAAAAAAAAGTCCACCTGTATACATTTTAGTGTAACCTAATTGTAATAAATATATTGTAAGTGCATATAAATAAATAAATATTTCCAACGGTGGACAATAATAAGTTAAAATGTTAAAAATATATACGAGCGAAATTGCAACAAGTTTATAATATTGATACCAAAAATAACGTTCCATGTTTTGAAACTATTTATAGAAAAACATATGCAACAACCGTTTCTGGGTTAAGTGCTTCTAAATTTAAAACATTTTAGTAACAGACGGCTCTCGTGTGTGTAATGAATTATTTGTTAGAATCAGTCTGACTTTATAGCCGACTCCGACGAATTTAAACGGTAGATAAAGAGTTTAGGAAATATAAGTTTCTCGGGGGAAAAATGTGTAATTTCGGAAAATTAGATAAAGAAATATTAATCTTTGTATATTTATTACTTTTATGCTTATATACAATGAATGTGGATGGCTATAAGGACAGAGGAAGGCCTGAAAAGACATGGATGGACTGTGTGAAAGATGATATGGCCAGAATGGGAGTAAATGCAGAATTAACTGCTAATAGAGAAGAACGGAAGAGGAAAACATATTACGCCAACCCCAAGTAATAGGGGGAAAGGGATCGTTAGTAATGAAGACTGAGAATCCCATTGCTAGCAATATACCCAACCAGGTCGACCTCCTCGCGGTTTCCCCTGGAAGCTATCATGGTTAATTCCTGATGAATTCAACATGATGGGCTAACTGGCCTGTTTTCATTCTCATCGATCACCCTTCACTGGTGCTCCGCCAGCGTATCCCGTTAGCGCAGGCGGGGTTACCATACCATTTTCACCCATAAAAAAAAGACCCCAAGTAGTAATAGAGATAAGGGTAGGAAGATGATGATGTGTTTATATACTAAGTTCGGAATCTTTGCTGGGAACAAACAATAAAGAGTTTTCAATCAATTATGCATTTCCAGTTATAATTGGTAAGTAGTTAAAAAGTCAAGCGAGGTCAGACGAAGAGAGAAGCATTATTTATTTATAATTTTTATTTTATTTATACAACTTAAAATGGCAAACAAGCTGACGGCTCACCTGATGGAAAGTGGTAACCGTCGCCTATAGACATGAGCAGTGCTATGGACATAACAGAGTATACTATTTTTATTAATAATGCAATTATATGTAAACAAATAAATAAAATGACATAACATGTCTGTTCATTAAGAACAAAAAAACAACAAATCCATCCTCTTAATAATATTAGCACAAATAAAGTGTTTAAATTACGCAACTTAATTTTCATTGTTGTAAAATACATTATTTATTCCAAGAACAAGGATTATTAATCCATGATTTATTAGAATCGTTGAATTAATAACGAAGATTAGCAGAGAATCGGGTAATTGGTAACTTGACTCTTCAAAACAAATAACCGTTTCCAACAAGATTGCCCACGTATTTAGATGAATAAATACATGTTTAATTTATTACTAGTTATCGTTAACGTTTACTTAAGTTAGCTTTAAAATCTAAATAGTTGCCACGCTCGGCAAGCGGGTTGGCAACCGCAGTTAGTCTTTGAAGTTGTTTTAAGAGAGACGATGTTGCCCATTCATTCCTCGATCATTAAGTTCCCTTAGTTGCCTCTTATGACACCCACGGGAAAGGAAGGGGTGGCCCATTCTATGCCTAAAATTTGTATTATTATTCTATATTCATATAATAATAATGCAAATATATATAATCTATACTTATATTATCAGATTTATTCTATAACGTGTGCGTCTGCTAAGAAAGGACTTAATTTCAATTTAAAAGGGAAATATAACATTACACGTGCGAAGCCACGTGCAATAGCTAGTCTAATAACTATTTCGTAGCTAGTATAATTAAGCATTGATGAGCTATGATAGCCGTATATCATCAGGCTGTTCCCACCTCCGCTAAAATAAAGCAATCAATAAGTTCTAATCGTTTTTTCTCTCTTTCCAGGCACTAGTAGCTCGCATACAAAAAGAAAGGGATGGAGCTCTAGCAGATGCTGCTAGCTGCCGTGAAAGGGCCGAAGCGGCTGCTGCGGCCGCCAACAGGGCAGCCCGCGATAGAGACAGTGCCGCTACAGAACTGGACGTGTTGAGGGAACGGTGGGAGAAAGCTCATCAGCAACACCAGAAGCTTACGGTAATTCGACTATTCGACAACATCTGTGACACAGTAATTGTTTTAATGAGTAATAATGGAGTGGTAACCCCGCTTGCGCTATCGGTATACACTAGCGGGGTACCAGTGAGGGATAAGAGGGTGAAAACTGGTCAGTTAACCCATCGTGATGAAATCTTGGCGCCTCGACGACTTGACCAATTGTTGAGAAATATGGGATAAAAAATAATATAGGCTACTTTTTACCCTGCTCAGTAAACATTTTCTGGTTAAGCGGACTAACTCATGGTTAAAAACTAGTATATTGTCACATGTATAATTAATCGTATCACGCAGAATTTTCCAATTGTATAATCAAAATTTTATATTTTATGAGAATGTTCACGAGATAAAACTATGAACTATGTAATCGACATTAAAATATACTTTTTTATAAAAATTTCAGATGGAAAGAGATGATGCCCTGACAGAACTGGAAATAATGAAAGAAAAACTAGATAAAGCACTTTATTCTTCACAAAAGACCATCGAGGAAAAAGAAACAGCGCACAAAGAATACGAAAAAATGCTTGAAAAGTATGATAGGTATATTTTGTTCTACATGTCGTCTTGTGTTGGTGGCGATGTCAGTGTTAGCTAATATGAAAACGCTCTTATTGTGTATGTACTAAGTGTAATTTTCTTTTATTTCAGATCACAAAACGAAATTTACCGATTACAAAACAAGTTAGATATACTGGAAGCCGATAAAGACCGTATTGAACTCGAACTGGAAAAACAAGTTCACATGTCGACAAAAGCTCGGGAAGACCAAAGAAAGATGCAAGATGAATTGTCTAGGTTACAGGAAATGTATGATAGAGCGTCATTACAATTGGGCAGGACCAAAGAACAGGAAGAGAAAGCTAAAGAAGATATGGATAGGTTGAGTGTTGATATTGAAATGGTTAGGGAAAGATATGAGAAGAGTCAGATAGAATTGCGAAGACTGCAAGCAGAAAAGGAGAAATTGGTAGCCGATAATGAAAGATTACAATTTGAATACGATAGAGCAATGACACAGTGTGGTAAGGCGCAAGCTTCAAATGAAAAGACTCAAGAGGAAATGGCTAGAGTACAAATTGAACTCGAGAAGATGTATGATAAACATGATAAGGTCTCTTCTGAATTAAGAAGAGTGCAGGCCGAGCTTGACAAAGTTAAACAAGATGCTAGTGGAGCTAGAGAAGAAGCGGAAAGATACGCGGCACGTTATGGAAAATATCATGATACAAAAGAAGAACATGAAAGAACTAAATTGGAGGTGGAACGACTTCGCGCACGGTTAGAGAAGACAGCGTTAGACCTGGAGCGAGCGCGCAAGGCTGAGGAGGAAGTAGTACGTCTACGCTCGGAGCTCGAACGCGTCGAAGGCCTTCGAGGTAAATACCAATTCGAACAGGATAAGTGGACCAATGAGCTGAATCGGATGCAGGCAGAAATCGACAAGCACCGCGAACGGTATGAAGTAGCACAGGCTGATATCCAGCGCGTGCAGTCAGAAAAGGAACAAGCTGAGACCAAGTTACATGAACTGAATATACAATTAGAACTATCTAGGAGTGAAGTAGCGAAACTTTCTGGAGCATTAGAAAAGCAGAGAACTGATCTTGAACGCGCTCATATTGAGTGTGAAAAGTTCAGAGATCGATGCGAGAAACTTAAATTACGTTCTGAGCAATTAGATAAAGATAACGAGAGACTAAAGGGAGAGTTGCAACAAATTGAGAGGATGAAATTACAGGCTGTGGCTGGAGATAAAGCAAGGACTGAGGATAGATTGGAAATTGAGCGTCTGCGGGACAAACTGGAAAAAGCTATTCAAGCAAGAGACTCGACAGAAATGGAAGCCGGTCGCTTGGCTAAAGAACTTGAGAAATCACAAATGCATCTTGCCAAATATCAGGAAACTAATGAGTCAACGCGGGTAGAATATGATAGAATGACTAACGAGTTAGGAAGAATGCACGAGCGCCTTGAACGTACAATCCTTGAAATGCGACAGATCGAACAGGAGAGAGATGCGTTAAGAGCGGAAATACAGAATACGAGACGTAATGTTGAGCAGCAACAAAGAACTTTGGACCATCGAACGCAAGAAACTCTAGTAAAACTTCAACAAGAATTAGCTCAGTCTGTGCGAGATAGAGAAAAAATGGCTTCAATATTAGAACAAAGAGACAAACAAGCAGACGCAATAGAGAAACAGATTGTGAAGTTAGAAGCTGATACTAAACAGCTTACAATTGAACGCGATCAATTAGTAGCTCAACTAGAAAAGTCACAGGACATGTTAGTCAATTTCCAGAGAGAACTGAATGCTTCAGAAGCAGAATTGCAGAAACAGCGAGAAGAAGTGCGTAGATTGAAAGAAGAACAAAGAAAGATGGCTCAGGATTCTGAGCGTGGCACAAAAACCGTCCTCGAGAGTCGCGATAGAGAAATTGCAAAATTACAGCAACAAGTCCAAGTTGTCACCAAAGAGAGAGAGACTATCAGACAACGCGCGGAAAAAGCCGAGAGGGAAGCACAAAAAGTCGGGGAAATTGATAAGTGGCGAGCTGCCGTTGAAGCAGAAAAAACTAAGGCAATCGCAGCAGAAAAAGCTTTATCCGAATGCCAGCAACGCTTACAGTCTTTGGAAAAACAGTTCCAGGCACAACAGCAGCAATTGCAGCAGCTTCAAGCGCGGGGACCATCGGATGTTCGTGAAGTTCAGAAGCAGCTAGAATCAGCGCAAGCGGAGGCGCGTTCTCTTGCAGTTGAGCGAGAACGATGCCAGTCGCAGCTCGAGATGCTTGTTCAAGAATTGGAGAAGAGCCAGGTCAGTTGGAGGATCGCCCGGCGACGTGAAGCTGTCGGGACGGCAATGCGTGGTTGAATCGAGTTTTTAAATTTTAAACTTTATACTTCATAGAAATGTGATCATAAACGAAAAACGAATTACAAACAAAACTCGATTGAATCTGATTTAAGTCGCGTGCGTTGTCTGCTTACATCATTGCACCGGTGTCATCGAGTAGATGTTTTGATTTCAATGTTCATACATTTGGTTTTTGTTTGGAGTCATCATTGCCGGTTGTCATGTATATTGTTGTTGTATAGTAGCATGCCTCCCACAGCCCGCAGGGCATCCTCCAACCCCACATTACAATTATTTTATTTAGTTCCATCATCGCAGTGTCTCTTGTTGTCGATTATGTCATAGGAATGAATGTTGTCATTTGAAATTTGAGCAAATTATTGCACCTTACATAGCAATCACAAGATGCACCCATCCAAATATGTTCCTTCTTAGTTCAGATTGTGATGATGAAAATGTTTGGTGCAAGAAAATTGCCCAAGGCTTCATTTATCGATAATACATTTAATTGTTTTATTCTTTTTCAGCTGCATTCGCTATTGTATATGTGTATATTTGCGATATTTTTCATCGTCATACTGATTAAAGAATTTTGAACGGAGTCACTTTTATCATTGAATTTTTTGGCCTGCAAATACAAATTTATATTTTGCGACGTTGTTGTAAAAATTTATGCTTCTCGTAATATTAATCTGTATATCTTACATCAGATTTTTATTAGCTTTTCAGTGGTGTAAATGTGATAGTCACTGCAGATTTTAATCTTTTGCAATAATATTTTTGTACATTTTATAATAATTTTATTTCAATAACAGCTCGATCTCCACGAAGCGAACAAGAAACTGCAAGCGGCTGGCGCTCAGAACGCCAAAGCTGGAGACGATACAGCCCAAGCTAAGAGGCAGCTCCAAGAAGAATTTAAGAAATTGGAAGACGCGAGAAGACATTTTGAAGAACAGAGAAGAACGTTCGAGAATAAGAGGAAAGACGTGGAGGAAAAAGAAAAGTCGCTAACAGAATTAGATCGACAGTTAAAGAAGAGAAAAGAGCAAATGGACCAAATGGAAGCATCGTTGAGGAAGGTAATTTCTGTCTAAATATAAATATATTTATGATACGTTATGGTAATTCGCTATTTCAGTAATAAAAACTATTTCTTTTATACAAATTATAATGGCGAATAATTATGGGCTTAACATTTTAAAAGAATAACAAGATCTTGCATTAAATTCTTAATTTTACTAAAATAATTTAAATAGTCTCTCTCTCTCTCTGTGTATGTGTGTGTGTATGTTTTTTTATACAACTTAGAATGGCATACAAGCTGACGGCCCACCTGATGGAAAGTGGTAACCGTCGCCTATAGACATGAGCAGTACCGTGGACATAACAGAGTATACTGTTTCGTGTGTGTGTTCTGTAATATTTATTCTCGATTCAATTTACACTCAATTCTACTTTTCATATCGGGGGTTTTATTTTATCGTCTGTTTGGTGGTGATATAAACAACTATGATTAAATTATATCAAGAACTCGTTAATCAATACTCATGGGTAAAATTTTCAAAGTGTTTTGAATATATTAAAAAAAAAAAAACAATTTACTGTAATATCGTTCTAAATTTAGCTTCTCTATCATAGAACCCAGTCTATCTTTTGTACCACCACAGTTGTATAACAACTATAGTGGTACACGGTACTACCATAGCCTATAGACGCTTGTAGCACGATGGATGAAACTTGTAACTTACTAAAAATATAAAGGCTGTTACTAAAACTAAAAATATAAGTATGCCACCACATAAAATATATACATATACATATAAAACCAATAAAGGTACCACATTTAGTGCCAGTTACGATCAAACTCATAACGTTAGCTTTCTGTAAATCTTTTATGCAATTTAGAATAGCATACAAGCTGACGATCTACCTGATAAAAAGTGGTAATCGTCACATGGAGACCTGAACATTACAGAGTAAACTGTAACGCTCAAGACATCTTTCACTTTCAGTGTTATGTCTCCGTAACCTTTAATTTCACTATCTCCGATCTGATGAATTCCATAGATTTCTATTTTAAATATATAAATCATTAATTCCAGGCCGGCGGCAGCACAGCAGCAGTCACAGATCTGAACCGCAAGCTGACGGACACACAGAAGGATGCTGAGCAGCTGAAGCAACAGCTGGACCAGAGCAAGGAGGAGGCGAAGCGGCTGACCACAGAGACGGAGAGGCTTCTGCAGCTGGTGCAGATGTCGCAAGAGGAACAGGCACAGAAGGAGAAGCAGATAATGGATTTGCAGCAGTGAGTTTAAATTATGTAACAGTAGTGCATGAGGCAAGAGATATAAATGAAAAAAAAAATTAAAGGAATGGCTTTGATACTATTCTGCCAATTTGGAGGAAAATTACAATTAATAAATAAATAATTTTAATTAAGATTTAATTTTAATTAATAACCGAAAAGGAACGTTTTGGTTTTATTTTTAAATAGATACATACTCTAAACTCCTCATAAAGAAAGACCCGTATCTAGCAGTATTCAGTCATTATGATTTAAAATGTCTTCTTTTCGCGATACTATTATCGAAAATTAAATTCTAAATTTTAAATATACTTATGCAGTAAAAACTACAATAATAAAAAACTCTTGATATTATATTCATCATCATCAACCTATCAGACATTATCCGTCCACTGCTGGACATAAGCCTCCCCTATAAATCGCCAGGAACGGTCCTGAGCTACCTGCATCCACTGATTCCAAGCAGTGCATTTCTGGTCATCACTCCACCTAATGGGGGATCGTCCTACACTGTGTTTGCCTGTTCAGGATCGCCACTCAAGAACCTTTCTTCCCCATCGGTTGTCGATTCTTCGAGCTATGTGACCAGCCCATTGCCACTTCGGCTTGCTTATCCTTGATATTATATTGATCTGTTTTATTATCCCTAATTTGCAGATCTGTGAGAAACCTTCAAGCCAAACTCAAAAGTCAGCAACAAGCACAAGCACAAAGAGAAGAGGTATGCATGTACATATATATAAAACTATATTACATTAATAACCCAACATAATTCAATACTAATCAAATCGTCATAGTCGTAGTATACTGACGGATCTGACAAAGATTACATATAAAGATCCGTCAGTGTTCTACGACTATGACGAAATAATTACAAACACTTTCTGCATTTTAATTATAAAATTATTGTTCTAAATTCAAAAAGTATTAACAATTTATTATCATACTACATATGGTAAGTACATCGTCGTATTGGTTTACCACTTGCATAAAAAAGGATTAGACCAAATAAGCAAATTCACGATCTTCCATTTTTATTGTCTAAATGTGTTAAGAGCATTTTTTATTATTTAATTCATTAAAAAATCATAATATCAGACGTGCCTGTAAATTATCGTTTACTTAATTCATTTGACTGAATAAAAATAATTGTACCAACGATGTCTGTACATGAGAGATATTTAAGAAAAAAAAAAGTAAGTGGTCTCAATACAATCGATAGATGCCAACACATTTTTTTTTTTATTTTATCTGTTGGTTTGTCTATCGATGGATGCGATATTGGATGCGGTTTTCGCAGTTATGTTTCTAAAATTCTAAATTAAAATCATAAATATATTTCATCTTGATACGGATTTAAAAGTGCTCTATGTTGCATAAATGTAGTAATGTATTATCTGTTGGTGAGTCTATGGTTCTGTAACATTATTAAAACAAAAATAAACTTATCTATGGTCTGTTTTTTCTATACAACTTAGAATGGCAAACAAGCTGACGGCCCACCTGATGGAAAGTGGTAACCGTTGCCTATAGACATGAGCAGTACCATGGACATAACAGAGTACGAGTATACTGTTTCGCCCATGATACCGATGCGTTGCCATTCCTGAGGACTCAGGTGTTATTCCTCTGTACCAAAAATGGAGTTTTATTGAACAGTCTATTTCATTTGTTTTTAGTACTTCTATAATCTACGCCTACGAAGTGACGGGCAAAAAAAATTATAAAATATTATTATTCATGAATAAATATAACCAAAGTCAATAACTTGAATAAAGAATGCTTTTACAATTAAGTCCACCTTGTAAACATACCTGTATTAAATACATAAAAATGTTCTTCATCACAAAATTTTATTTAGTTAAGTAAGAACAACAGACCTTGTACGTACTATAATTGAACTAATCTAGCTAATGAAACTTCATGACATAATGAAAATAATGATTAATTCAATTTCATGTATCATTTACAATCGTAATCATTTTGCACAATATCTGAGCCTGTAGACAAAGTAACATTTCAGTTACTGTCGGAATACATTAATTGCATTGCCTATAGAACTTAGAGAACGTAACAACAATTAGAGAAAATAAGAACAATTACAGTAGACACAGTATAAATAATGATTTTAACTTAGATCACATAGATAGAGTATCCACATACAAATAATTCGAAAAAAGTGGGTCAAGTTTTTCATATAGTTTTGCGTGACAAATAGTTATGAGAAGCTTCCTTTAGAACTTCTATATTTATTTTATCATTTTTGCATCTTATTAGTGCGTAAAAGGTCATTTTATTTATTAAATAATTAAATATAGATATGTCAAGATACATTGTGTGCGTAAGTATGTTAATGAGTGCGTAAGAATGTTAATAAAAAAAAACGAGTCAGCTAATTTGACAATTAGCTGACAAAAACTTGACCCGTTTTTGAGACTCGATGCTCTATGTATATAATCAAAGGATTTTAATTATATTAGTACCATATCTTTTTTTTATATTTAATTAATAAAATAACTGATAAGCAATTACTTTGTCTACAAGGTTCAATGTCTTTCCAATTGACTAACTGTACTAACAAAAACAAATTTTCTTTTCCATGCTCGCAGGCTGGACCCGCTGGCTTCCTCAAAAGCTTTTTCTAAGTTAGTCCTTCGCCTCAAGACTGTCATTCATTTATTTGCTCTTTTTAATTTAAATAGTTATTTTCTTAAACCGTCGATTGACAAATATTCCGTGAGCGACAACTATAGACTCCACGTCTTTCATAAACTTATCACAATTAAGCTTTACAATTGCAATTTCTTAATAAGTAATGTTATCGATATCTAACTATATATTGAATATATATATATTAATGAAGTGTTCAGATAATAATAACAGCGTCTTGTTGATGTACTCCGGTATAACATATACACAGTGCGAGTCTCAGTTCATTGTAACCAACACACAAGTAAGATTAATAATTAGTTTAGAGATATTTTTAAGTGACGTTTAAAAAAAAATGGGGAAAAAAAATAAATAATCGTGTTCAGCCGGAATTATTTTGTTAAGGATTGATATGAATAAAAAAAAAACATATTGTGTAAAACTGTTAAGTGAACATGTATCTAGTTAGATGAAGTAAGTTGTCCACTAAATAGTCGATGTTACCCAGCTTTCATCTTGTTATGCGAATAATCATATTACCTATTTATACTGAAAGAAAATCTATGTTGACCTTTCTCCAGTTATTTTTGTGTTTATATTGTTGAGAATTTTGTTGTTGAAGTAAAAAGAGAAACTATATAATTTTTTTTTTTTTTGTAATTTTGTTCTTTGTTTTCATCTATTCAAACCCTGTCGTGTAGGAAGTGAACCGAGCTAATGAGACAGAGATAGCAGCTGTAGACGAGCTAATTAAAATAAAGAAAGAAAGAGACGATTTGAGATGTAAATTGGAAGAGAACAAAATGAAGGTGATAGATTTGGAAATTGAACTGAACGAATCGTCGCTTATTCTTTCTGAGGTGCTCAAAATTTCCGATGGTCGAGAACTGAGCGAGGTTAAACGGAGTAAAAGTTATTTCGAACTGCAAAAGAGTGGTAAGGTAGTGGATAGGCTTGACAAAAGGAGATTCAGTAGGAGTTACAATGATTTAGATATGGTAACATATGATAGAAGTGGAAACGATCCACCCAATGTACACAAACTGAGCAGAAAGATATCTGATCTATCTAAAGAAATTGGTATAAAGAATTCTAAAATCATAGAACAACAGAGATGTATATCAATATTAGAAGAGGCATTGAGGGAAAATAACAATATAACAGAATTTGAACAACTTCTAGCAGTGGTTAGAAGCAAAGATGAAAGAATTAATGAGTTGGAACAGATTATCAATAAGAAAGGAACAACAACTGCCGACTACAGAGATAACAGGATACTAGAATTGGAAGACGCTCTTAAAGAATCTTTTTTGATCGCTACTGAAAGGGAGAAGGTATTTTATGAAGAAGAACAGAGAAGAATTGAAACATTGAAGAAGGTAACTGTTTTAAGCATTCGTTTATTTTTAGATTTGCGCGCAATTCGTAATGACTTTGTTTTTATTGACATGGGTCAACTAGCAACATAAAATACTATGAAATATGGCTTGATAAATTTTTTTATCATAAGCATTTCTGATCATATTATATTGTTTTGTCTAATCTGTAAAGAGAGTGCAAAACAAACAAAAATATCCATTTTATATAAATATTTTTAATCTTGCAACTTAGAATGGCAAACAAGCTGACGGCTCACCTGATGGAAAGTGGTAACCGTCGCCTATAGACATGAGCAGTACCATGGACATAACAGAGTATACTGTGATGGTAACCCTCATGAACTACCTGTTTAATAAGGAATAATAGGCTACATGTTTAAATTGTTATTTTAACCCCTAAATACACTCATTTAGATTAGGTAATTAATTAGGAATTAAAGTAATCATGTTCCTCAATATTTCGCAGATGAAAAAAATGGAGCAACGTATTCGATCGCTGCAGAACGCTTCAGCGCTAAATTGCGAGACGTGTACCTCAGTATTGAAGCGGTTCAAACAATTGGAGTGTTCACTTCAGCGCTGCAAAGCGATGCGCGATGCAGCACTGCGTCAATTGTCACGCGTGATGTGAGTTTATATATTTTTACCGCCAATTGTGTCTAGTCATAATAGAAGCAATAATACGAATTCATTTCTTTGTTACATTTCTATGCAGATAAATTGATAGTAACTTTTCTATTTTTTTTTTGATGTGTGAAAATGGTATGGTAACCCCGACTGCGCTAATGGGATACGGATACGCTAGCGGAGCACCAGTGAAGGGTGATAGATGAGAATGAAAACAGGCCAGTTAGCCCATCATGATGAATTCATCAGGAATTAACCATGATAGTTTCCAGGGGGAACCGCGAGGAGGTCGACCTGGTTGGGTATATTGCTAGCAATGGGATTCTCAGTCTCCATTACTAACAATCCCTTTCCCCCCAGTAACTTTTCTATTAATCTGTATTACTTATAAAATAACCTTTAAAGGTTTTACTTATATTATACTTATATTAGATATATAAATATTAATCATTGCATAATTTGTAAACTTTTGTTTCCAGTCAAGACATCCTAGAATGTTCTATCACAGAGAAAGATTCCCAGATAGCAGAATTAGAGGTGAAAGGAGTACTGGATGAGAATGAAACAGCAAAATGCGATGCTCTGAAGATCGAGCGAGACAGACTGCTCAATAGACTTAAGACCGAGGTAATTTTTTTAATATATTTTTATATTCGGTTTGAAGGGTGGGCTGTAAATTCACAGGGTACAGAGGAATAACACCAAAGTCTTCAGAAATAGCAACGCATGGGGGGTACCATGGGCGAAACAGTATTCTCTGTTATGTCCATAGTACTGCTCATGTCCATAGGCGACGATTACCACTTTCTATCAGATAGGCCGTCAGCTTGTTTGCCATTGTAACTAGCATAAAAAAAAAATTAGGAGATACATGCTAATATATTAACAATCGAACCTGAGACCCCAATTATGGAAAACAACGGAATAATTTAGTATAATATTGTATACAGAACGAGAGAATATTGGAACTCCAACGAGAAGAGTACCAGGCTCATATGAATCAAGAGGAGTGTCATACACGAGTACCAGTCGACATCACGTTGGCCGACGACGTCATTGCCGTCTGCGACGATAATGTAATTGTCTGGGTATTGTACACACACGGTATTGAGAATGTGGGTGAACATTTTGAATTTCGAATTTGCCAGCTTGCAAATTTTGAAAATAGAAACAACACAAGCATCATAAAAAAAAAGAATTACTAAAAAAAGAATATCAGCATTCACAAATTGGCGCGAAGCTTGAAATGGATGGTGATACCATAGACATTTCTATCGCAAGTTCTTGGACTGAATGCGATAGGTTCATGCCTATTCAAAGATTCTATTTCATAATATGACGCCAATATCAGCTTAGCTTGGTGTGTTTTGTCTTAATTTATTTAATTAGTACTGAAAAGACGGATCTACCTACGATTTACATTCTAAATTGCTTTTATTAATATTTAAAAAGATTTTTCATAGATAAATTTTGATGTTGTTGTTTTAAAATTCGTCTAAAATGCACAGGCAAAGAGCATGGCCCATACAGCTAAATCATAAATTAATAAATTTTGAATAAAAAGATTTTTGTATTATAGTCAACGTTTGGATATCTTCAGGTGCGGTCATTGTCATGTTTTATTTTATTAAACGTTTTTCACACAATATCTACGTTGCACTTTTTTTTATTTATTCTGTGCTTATAATTATTTGTATTTTCTTTTTCTTTTTAACTAATTAGACTTGAATAACATATTCATTAAGGATACGATCTATCTTTAATTAATGAAAAAGGTACTATTATAAGTCAATGCTACATAAATTTATTTACATTTGAATTGAAACCAATAACTACCTCCATCTGTACTTATTTGCAAATAATTCTTATTTCAATTCTCTATCAATATTTCTACTACTACATATCTACCTAGCATTATTATCCATTAAAAAATCTTTTTGTATAATACAATTTTGTACAATACAGAAAAAGAATTATATAAAATAAATGGCAACTGCAATACAGTCAGTCACGGGGTCTGTATTCTGATTTTAATATTAATATTTAAACTATTAATCTAAATATAAAATATTGCAGGAGGAGGACATCCCCGCAACAGTGCTCTGACGTCACAAAAAGCTAAGTCAAAACGTAAATGTGTTTGTGGCCTTAGCCTCATTACCGCACTTGTCACCACCATCACTCGCTACCTTACCAACCATCATTGCTTCTCACTCCAGCATACAGCCAAAGAAATTAAAAAAAAAAAATATATCGCCCCGCTTGCAATATCTGAACATGTTCTCTTTCAAATTGAATTTCGAATCGTGCCATTGAACCAAAGATGTCTTTTTTTTAATTATAATTTATAGTCTGTAAATAAAATTGTTTTCTTTTTTAATTTTCGTTGTTTTATTTTTCTTCATTCTTAAACAAAAAAAAAGAACATGAATGTTGTGTGTTGTTTATTTTTTTTTATTTTGTTTCATAAAACTGAGGTATCAAAATTGAAGATAAGCGAATGATATTTTTTTATCTGAATCGAATGAAATGGAACCAATTATTTATCTATACTAATTATTGCACTTGTTAAACAAAATGTATACCTAATAGAGCAATAATTTAATCTAACCAATACTCTAGTTGAAACCACGCTCGGTGTCTATTTTTATCTTGAACTAGTCAAATCTATTTAAAGAAATTTATTATAATAACATTATTTATCATGGGAGATATTGTTTAACCGATATATTTATAATGTTATCCGTAATTTAATTCAAATATAGATAGTTTCACTTCGCTATGCGAGGGGCATAGCTCCATACCCCTATAGTGTGTACCTATCAAATTATTTGGTTTTAGAAAAAAAACTATTTACATGTACTACTACACGGCGATATACTTAGTTAGATAAAATATCATAAATAACGCTGTCCAGCGTTCCGTTCAGTATCATTAGGTTATTATTTGCCTGTCACTTGCTAGCAGTAAAATATATCTGGTTAAAATAGGAATATTTTTCAGAAACATATCATGCGCAAACTTAACATACAAAGCTGACGGGCGGCATATCATTTTCGTGTAAGCTTCTTAAACTGACCTTAGAATTGTTATTCGTGTTCGGACTGTATGTGAGACGCTTGTAAAATGTCAAAAATAAGCACTGCCTTACATTCTAAGTAAATTAATGAGCGATAATGAGAACTTTAGACGTCCGCTCTCTCCGACTGATGGCGTTGGAATGACAGTGAGTAGTGCGAGATCTTAAACTTCCTTTACGGCAGCTATGTTAAAAGTACCCACAAAAATAAATTACCTAATTATTGTGAGCTTTTTATAATATCTTTACAACAGTATTGTATTTGTGATAAATAGATATCCATTAACGAAATCCAATTTGTGAAACAAATAAAATATATTTTTAACTCCCTCTCTTTAAATCCGTAACAATAATTTATACATCTAGTTAAGTACCGTTCGTTGATTAAGCCACATTTGTACCAAGCTTGTTGCTGTTTTAAGCAATTGTTTTTAATAAATAAAATTTAAAAAAAAAGCCAAATTTCATAAATTGGATTGTCGCATTAGAAGTACAACATCGAAATATTCCTTGATACTTTGTCTTTAAGGACAACGGTCACTAGTTTGAGAAGAAACCCCTTGATGACAAAACTAAAAAAAATTGGTTGACCTTTGTCCTTGGCCTATAGGCTCTGCTCCTTCGATTTCTCTGTAAAAAAAAACTTGTTATGTTATTAAATTCACAGATATTATAGAGTGTTGGCAAATTTATGGCTTTTTATACACAGTCGCTGATTGTAGTGTGTATTTGTATGGTAGGCCGGGTTGTATAGTGAGCCGCAACGTTCCGTCGACAACACAATTTGGTCGGATTATAAAATCACAAGGTCATTTTCTAGTTACCATTTCAAATTCGATAGAACGCTGCGGCTCCGGGCGACTTTTTTCCGTAACGACTCAAGTGTGTAGTATGTCGATCAAATCACAATAATTAAGTACTATGGTATTAACGTAAATGATATTAGTTACTTGTTACGTAAATAACGGTATAAGTGACAGTGGATCGCCATGTTTGACACGTTGTATTGACAGAAATTATGCTGAAAATATAAAATACATGTTCTTTGAAAATATAATATCTTCATATACGGAACGGTATTGTTTGTTTTATTCCCATCCTTATTAGGAATAAGAAATATTAAGAAAGGAGACGTCTGCCATCTTATATTCTACTACTAGACCCGATAAATGTTGTTTTTGCTCCCTACCGCCATCTACCGGATTCATATTTCCTTGTCGGAATAAAAACTATTTTATCTCTCGCAAAATGGAATAACATAAGAGAGGCAACAGACACCTTTCAAGGACACGACCTTCAGTAATGAAGTGGGCGAAGAGAGAGGTCTCTCAAGATGAAGTTAACAAATAAATTTATAAAATTTCATTGAAATCAGTTGAACAGTTTCGACGATTAACGTTAACGAACACCATGAAATGGGGTTTTTATGCATTCAGATAGGGTGTTTTTACAATTTACCATAACACGGTACAATCGTGTTCCTACCGTGAAGCAGTTATGTTTGCATAGCCATATTTCAGTTTGATAGGTGGGATATGACAGTGAATTTACAGGGTACAGAAGAATAACACCTGAGTCCTCAGGAATGGCAACGCATGGGGGGTATCATGGGTGAAACAGTACACTCTGTTATGTCCATGATACTGCTCATGTCTATAGGCGACGGTTACCACTTTCCATCAGGTGGGCCGTCAGCTTGTTTACCATTCTAGGATGCATAAAAGAAAACACAAGAAAATTAATAAATAATAAAATTATGTCTCTATGTAGGAGATATTTGAGAAAAATTGATATGAAAAGTCTAAGAATAAAACTAATAGATGCCAGATAAGGTTATGAAATTTTTGAACGCCAACTTTTAGAAATTTTGGGAATTATTTGTCAGTCTGTATATTTATCCCGGTATCATGTAATACTACTGTACCAAATTAGACGCGGTTCTCACAGTTGTGTTCCTGAAAGTAAAATTTTAAATCTGGTGAATATTTTATGTTGTTACAGAATCTAGAAATATTATTATATCTATAGTAGTATAATAAAGCGGAATAATTTGATTGTTTGTATGTAATGGATAAACTCAAGAACTACTCAACGGATTTTAAAAAAGTCACCTAATTAAAGCTACATTATCAACGAGTAACATAGAAGATATATTTTATTTTCGAAAACCCTATCTATCCGTTCAAAGTCGAGCCGGATCTTTAGTACCTACATAATATTATAATAAATATGATTCCTGACAATTACAGAGTTACAATGATGAATTTAATATTTGAATGTCACATATCATTATATCGTCATGTGGAACGTTGGGTTCATCTTAAGGATAATAAATAAATAATTGTTTGGATTGAACTCGCACCTTTTACGGCATGAAATGGTAACTAAGCGAATAAGAACACCAAGCAATCTTCAAAACTCCATATAATTATTGAAATACAACTTTTAATCTTTAATATTTTTACAACAATTTGGAATTAACAAAATTACCAAATATCTTATTATAAAATTAAAAATATTATTTAAAAATTATTTTGGTTCAATAATAAAATTTTATAAATAGCGCCATCTGTTATCGGATAGTATTACTTCAACAAATAAAATTTGAGACTCATAACCATATTATCTCTACTTGTCACTAGATGTCGACACGATATAATCTGATTTAAACATTAGTTTTTGATAAGAAATTGTATTTCGAAATAAGCTTTATTTAATTTATTTTTAAAGATTTATTTTCACCGTTCTAGTAGATCTATTTAACTAAACGTAAGTTTTGTGCATTCTTAAAATATTATATATACAGTATATTTAGATACAAATTTAAAAAATGAAGAAAGTTTTTCCTACTACTTAATAAAAATTGTGAAGGCATTTATGTCTTTCCTTTCAGATCAACTAATTGTAAAACTTATTTATATAGTGTACCTTATTCATCATTATATATATACTACTATCTATATATATATATATATATATATATATATATATATATATATATATATATATAGGTAGATAGTAGTATATATATACATACCACTGCACAGAGAATAGAACAGAGATATACTCATATATATATTTAATTTAGAAACTATGCAATTTGACTGAAAGTTGGTCGTACACTTAGTTGTATGCAGAAGCATCAAGTCTTTCGGCATCGATGATCTATCGATCAATTGGTATCGATGGCGGGGTACCAGGGAGTGATTGGTAAGGATGAACCAAGGCAGTTCAGTTGACCCATCGTGACGAATTCGACAAGAACCACAAAGGTTTCCAGAAGGAACCGCGTGGAGGTCGACCCGAAATTGCTAGCAATGGGACTGCTAGACTCCGTTACTAATAATCCCTTTCTCCTAGTAGATATAGGTTGAAGCTTTTTCTGATAGCAGTCTATGGAGGCCTGTCTTCAATAGGGGAAAAATAACGTTCATTATTATGGTATATAAGCATATTAATTCCTAATTAACGCTTGTAACTTCGTCTGCATAGACTTTGTACTTTAAGTAAGGTACTCCTTTACCAGAGAGAGACTTTGTACAAAAGTCGATTGCTTGGGTACCTCTGTCCCATTCGTGTTTCAACCGTGAAGCGGTTGTATTTGGATGGCTGTGTTTCGGTTTGAAGGGTGGTATACGACGTGAATTTACTGGGTACAGAGGAATAACACCTGAGTCCTTAGGAATGGCAACGCATGGGGGGTGAAGGGCGAAACAGTATACTCTGTTATGTCCATGGTACTGCTCATGTCTATAGGCGACGGTTACCACTTTCCATCAGGTGGGCCGTCAGCTTGTTTGCCATTCTAAGTTGTATAAAAAAATAGTAATTAATTCTCGACCGGCTTCAAAAATATGGGAGTTGAAAAATACAAATGAGTGGAGAACCATTCGTTTGTATTTTTTTTATTTATTACCTCCGCACTCCGTCATTTATAAACCGATTTGAAATTTTTTTTATCTAAAAGGATATACTTTCAAATTAGTTCCATAGAATTTTTTTCAAAATCCGCTCAATGGTTTAGTCTTTAAATCAAAATAACTGTTTTTGCCATGACTGAAGTCGGAGTTTCTTTGTGAGACAAAGTTTAAAATATGCTTTATTTTTTTTTTAACTTTCACGTTCTTTATATATATTTTAAATACACAGTCGGTACTTATACAAAGAATTAAACGTCGGCAATAAAGAAGCAGGTAGTTAGGTACTTTTTACCTGTAAAGGTTTTTCTCCGCGTTAAGCCCCGATTGTGTATTTAAAATATCCTTTTCTCAAACATGCTTGGAAATGTGAGCATTATTTTGACAATCTTCTTCGAGATAAATCAAAATTGCCGTACTGGCCAGATACATGCGGGCAGCGGCCGGCAAAAGTTGTATGAAAATCCATATCTGTCGTGTTTTGCGGCCACATAAATTACTATGTAAACACATATCTGTCCTGTAATTTAAAAATGGAATTAGGTACCTTTTACTTCGAAACATGGCTACCAAGGAGGTAACTAACAAAAGGTTTTATTTAAATTTCGAACTGGCTTGCAAATAGAAAGCTGTTTATTGAAAAAAAAAACAAAGGAACATTATGGCGCGTGAAAAATTATTATTGTTCGTTATTCGTCATTAGTTCAATGAATAAAAGTAAAATTGTGTTTTTGATTTCCGCGCATTGTTTGAGAAAAGTACTTTACAAGCCTTGGCCAAAACAAGGCATTGATGGACTCACGTATGTGTGCCTGGGCTACGCCTCGGCCCACATTTGCACGTTCGTCCATCACTGCCTCAGTTGCTGGTCGCTGCAGTAATGTTCTATTATTTCTTACAGAAAATAGAATTGTGATCAGTTTTATTTCAGAAATTATCGAACGATTCCCCATACAAAATTTCTTCCCGTATTTCACCTCCTACTAATTTTATTTCGCAAAAAACAGCAACCTATATCCTTCTCTAAGGATTTTTCTTCTGATCTATCTCTATATCAGAATATATCAAAACTAGTTCAGTGATTTTCTTTTAATGAGCCATAATGTAATGGTAACCCCACCCGCACTATCAGTACACCGGCGGGGCACCAGTGGAAGATGATAGGTGAGGATGAAGTAGGTCAGTTAGCCCATCGTGACGAATTCAACAAAAATTGTTCACGATGGTTTCCAGGGGGAACTGTGTGGAGGTAGACCTAGTGAGGCATATTGCTAGCAATGGGGCTGTCAAACTCCATTGCTAACAATCTCTTTGCCCCCGGTTCAGTGTATTAGGCGTTATAAGGTAACAGATAGTCAGACATAGTTACTTTCAAATTTATAATATAAATATGGATTATTAATCTTATCACTGTTTATGACGGTAACAGATGATGAGGTCAGCCGGTTCACCGAGCAATGCGCAGTCGACTGTACCGCGGTACAGTCATACCGGAAGCGCCGCCGGAAACAGGTGCGCACGAGTTCCGATACGGTCGCGCACCGCCACTACTACAATGCGTACACACGAATATTATATTTACATACTAGTTGTTTCTGTTCGTCGGGGAACGGATGTGGCATGTTGCTGACCTTTCACTTTTTTTATTTATTATTTTAGTTTTTTTTTTTTGTATGTATACAAGCTGTGTCCCATGGCTTTGTCTACATGTGAATCAGTGCATTAAATATCTTATACTAAGCTAAGTTAGAAACTTGTTTTTACTTATTTAGTTTTATTTTTCATGTACGACTAGCTGTGTCCCATGGCTTTGTCTACATGTGAATCAGTGCATTAAATATCCTATGCTAACTTAGATACTTGTTTTTACTTATTATTTTAGTTTTTTTTTTTTCATGTATGACTAGCTGTACTCAATGGCTTTGTTTCCGTGAATCAGTGCATTAAATATCCTATGCTTAGCTAAGTTAGCTTGTTTTTACTTATTATTTTAATTATTTTTACGTATAACTAGCTGCATCCTATGGCTTCATCCGCGTGAATCAAGTTCCTTCATAGTGAATCCCATTACTAGCAATATAACCTATCAGGTCGACCTCCCCATGATTCACCCTGGAAACCACCGTACTGAATTCCGGATGCATTCATCACGATGGGGTA